GCTGGCGCTGGTGCTGCCGCTGGGGGTACTGCTGCTGTCCCTGCTAGTTCTGGAGGCGCTGCGCGGTCGAGGCCGTACTTTGTTCCGCTCCTTGAGCAGGTTCTTGGTCTCCCGCCCTCTATTGGTCCTGCTCCTCCCTTAGAGGGTCCACAGCCTGTCCAGTCGTGGTCACAGTTACAGCCCGCCTCCCCCCTACCTGCTCCTTCTCCCTACGCAGGTCCTACTGGAGGTCTTACTGAGCGTCGTGAGCCTGCGTCTCGTCCTGCGTCGCCTGTTCGTGCTGCTCGCACTAGTGGTCGTGCTCCGCGTCTGCGTCCTCCTGCGGTCCCAGGCACACACCAGATGGCACTGCGTCCGTCCACTGCTCCTCTGCGTGTCCAGTTGCCGTCTCCTCCAGAGTCCTCTCTTCCTGTCCTTGCTGACCCGGAGTCAGACTCTCTTCGTGCTGCCAGTCCTACTGTCACGCGTCTCCTGGCTACTGTTGTCACTGACCCTTCCTTTGAGTCCACTGCTGCGTCTGCCTTAGTTGCTGAGCTTGTCGACTTTGCTGCTCGCTGTCGTCTAGACTACGCCACTAGTCTCGTTGCTGAGTCTGAGTCTGTCTGTCCTCCGTCCGTCGGGGGTGAGTGTGCTCTTAGCACGGACGTCCTTGAGGACAGGCAGGAGGAGTTCCAGTGTTTTGCTGCTGCTTTGCCTCATCTCGTGTCCACACTGATTGCCCCTGAGGGAGACCCGGATGCACCAGACATCCCGACTCCTCGATCGTACGCTGAGGCGATCGAGGGTCCCTACTCCTCTCAGTGGCAGTCAGCCATGGACGCAGAGATGGCTTCCTGGAAGTCCACAGGCACCTACGTCGACGAGGTTCCCCCACCTGAGGCAAACATCGTCAGTGGCATGTGGATTTTCAGGGTGAAGCGGCCGCCGGGTTCTCCGCCTGTCTTCAAGGCGCGTTACGTGGCTCGAGGCTTCAGTCAGCGGCAGGGAGTTGACTACTTTCAGACCTTCTCTCCCACCCCGAAGATGACCACTCTTCGGGTGCTGCTGCACATAGCCGCTCAGCGCGACTACGAGCTTCACTCTCTTGAATTCAGCACAGCTTTCCTGCAGGGCAGCCTGCACGAGGAGATCTGGCTGCGCCGCCCACCTGGCTTCACTGGGTCGTTTCCTCCTGGTACCCAGTGGAGCCTCCGGCGGCCAGTCTACGGTCTCCGCCAGGCGCTCCGTGAGTGGCACGACACACTGAGGTCTACACTTGCGGCTCTTGGGTTTGCTCCTTCTACTGCCGACCCGTCGCTGTTTCTGCGCACCGACACCTCTTTGCCGCCGTTCTACATCCTCGTGTACGTCGACGACTTGGTCTTTGCCACTGCTGACACTGCTGGACTCGCCCACGTGAAGTCCGAGCTGCAGAAGAGACACACGTGCACAGACCTGGGTGAACTGCGCAGCTACCTTGGCTTGCAGATCACCCGGGACAGAGCACAGCGCACCATTACCCTGACTCAGTCACACATAGTGCAGCAGGTCCTTCAGCGCTTCGACTTCACGTACTCCTCGCCTCAGGCCACTCCTCTGTCTACTCGCCACTCGCTCTCAGCTCTGCCTTCGGATGAGTCCGTAGAGCCGAGTGGCCCGTACCCAGAGCTTGTTGGCTGCCTCATGTACCTGATGACCTGCACACGACCTGACCTAGCCTACCCTCTTAGCATCTTGGCACGCTATGTTGCTCCTGGGAGACACCGACCAGAGCACATGGCTGCAGCGAAGAGGGTGTTGCGCTACTTGTGCAGTACGTCGGGCATGGGGCTAGTGCTTGGAGGGCGACGTCCAGTGGTCCTCACAGGTCACGCAGACGCTTCTTGGGCTGACGACCAGGCTACGCAGCGGTCGTCACAGGGTTACACCTTCAGCCTTGGCTCCGGCTCTGTTTCGTGGCGGTCTACCCGCTCGTCTTCTGTTCTCGGCTCCAGCTGTGAGGCTGAGATCTACGCGGGGGCCATGGCTGCACAGGAGCTACGCTGGCTCACCTACCTGCTGACTGACCTAGGAGAGCCGCCTCGTTCTCCTCCAGTTCTGTACGTAGACAACAAGGCCATGCTGGCCTTGTGTCGGGAGCACAGACTGGAGCACAGAACGAAGCACATTGCTCTCCGCTACTTCCTTGCTCGTGAGCTTCAGCAGCGTGGTCAGCTGCGCCTTGCTTACGTGGCCTTTGAGGCCAACACTGCTGATATCTTTACCAAGGCACTTCCGCCTTGTGATCATCAGCGCTTCTGTACGATGCTAGGTCTTGTGCCTACTTGGCCTCACTTGCTCACTTCTTGACCTTGCTTGTACTGTGATCTTTCTATACCTGCACTTGCTTGTTTACCTTTATATATGATCTTGCATGTGAACTGGCCTTGTGGCCTTGCTCTTGTGCTCGGACTGTGTGGTGACGTTGTGATCCTCTTCACATACTTCTCTTGGTGGAGGTGGATGGTCCCGTTGAGTGTAGCCTTGAGCTACAAGCCTCGCCTTGTAGCGTTCGACACTCCCATCGGCTCCCAACTTCTTCTTAAGCACCCATTTGCACCCCACCAAGTAGGCACCCTTCGGCGGGTCGACGAGCTCGAACACGTCGTTCTCTTTGATCGAGGCTAGTTCCTTCTCCATCGCTTGTTTCCATAGTGGCGCATCTTGAGAAGCCAAAGCCTCGGTATGGGTGCGAGGGTCATCACCCAAGGTTGCGAAGCAATATGCCGCACGCTCCTCGTCCAACTCCCCAACGGCTACCATAGCGTAGTCGTTGAACTTCGTGTTGGGGCGACGTATACGTTTCTCGCGGGTCAACGCCAATGGGAGAGAGGAAGGTGTCGAGGAAGTTGCCGCCTCGGTTGGTGGCACCTCCACCACGTCGTCGCCGCTCTCCTCGTTCTCTCCCCCTCCATTTTCGGCTTCCTTTTCCACTTGTGATGGAACCTCCACCGCTTCATCCTCCTCTCGTGCGGGAAGGACGACGGTGAGTTGCGGCGTTGGTTGTTCCTTTGTCGGAAACTTGTCTTGCACGCTATCGAGTGCCGTAATCACCGTCGACCACTCTTCTGGAAGGCCACATAGCAAGGTCAAAATCCAATCATCCTCCGTGACCGTTCCACCGAGGTCCATGAACGTTTCCCCGAGTTCCTCCACACGAGTCGCATACTCGTGCATCGATTCACCTGCGCGCATCTTCACCGTGTAGAACGCGTTCCGGGCTAGGATCTTGCCGTGGAGAGTCTTGTTCACGTGGATGGTTTCGAGCCGCTTCCACGCTTCATGCGCCGACGCTTCGTGCTTGATGCACATGCGCACCGCGCTCACGAGATTGATGCCGATGCGCGGAATCAACGTAGCGAACGCCTTTTGGTCCTTCTTCTTCCATGCCGCGATGCCGCTCTCGTCGTCCGGCTTCTTCTCCGTTCCATCGAAGAAACCCCAAAGTCCCCGCTCCATCATGAGCACTTGGAAGTTAAACTTCCACGCGGAGTAGTTTTGTCCCGTGAAAATCGGTACCGCCGACGTGTCGAACATCGTCGCGGTTGCCCAGGGTTCGCCAGAATTTACAACGACACCATCCAAGGAAGTGCGGGAGGCCTCGCTTGAGGTCGGCATGCTTGCTTCTTGTCGCGCGCGTAGACTCCTCCGACCAGCTCTGATACCACTGTTGTAGAGGACTCTCCTCTACTTTGCAGGATCTGGAATTTGTACTAAACGATAGAGCACTTTGCTGGCTTTCCAACGATCCGTCAAACACGCGATTCGCCCAAGTAACGAGGGAGTTCTAGGCGTTTATGTGTTTGCTAGTGCTCTTAGAACAAAGGATGGGAGCTCTCTGGATTTTGTAGTCGAATGTATCACATACAAAGTGATTCTTGATTTCAGTATGAAACATGCATACAAAGCGCACACATTTATAGCTACTCAATTTGTCGAATCGCACACGTAACATCGAGTTGCTACATGAAGTGTCGCGAATGTTCCGTGGGTAACATTTCGATGTGGTGAAATTCGTAAACCGAATTTCACACATTCGAATTATCCTTTGGTCCTCGAATGTTCCAGGTGCTGCCATGTGGCACCGAAATTCAAGTCTCCCGAAGTCAACCTGCACTTTCTCGAAACCTGCAGTGAAGTGAATCGGAAGCAACACATTCGGTGGTTGGGGGCAAACCTCCCCCCCACGCAACCTCCAACACACACATGACAACAACACTCGGAATTTCAGGCAGACGATAAACGACACGCTCAACCTCATGAAGGAAGGCAGCACTGCTGAAAGTTCAGCATCACAGGCAGTGCCGCAGTGGACCAAAAAAAAGAGCTTCTCCCCTGCTGCTGTGGCAGTATTGGCGGACATATGGAAGTTTCATATCGTGAAGCAATACATTCCGCCCTCCGTCGCGACGCAGAAGGTGAGCCATTGAAAAGGAAGTTCGAGATTTATCATGCCTGGACTGCAATGAACCGCACTGCATCCCAAAGTAGTAAATGCGAACCTGCATACTATGTACTATTAACGTGCTGTGTACTTACTAAGTAGCTACTCCTCTCCTGGGGGGTATGTACGCATATGTGCTGATACATACAAACTACTACTCACCGCGGCGTGGAGTAGGTACAATGTCCCAACCATGCTCCTACTCCGCGGGGGTGGGGAGTTCACACAATGTATTTGCTGTGTCGCAACGCTACCCTTTGAGGTTGGCTGGCCATGCAGTACGTAGTGACTCGGTAGTAGCAAATTCGAAATAGTCCGTACAATAACTAATTACAGTGTAGCTACTACGCCCAACATTTCAGGGTAACACATGTTACAGCATGTAACACGACGTACACTGTTTTCAATACACCACATATTGTGCTATAATTAATATCCAGCCAGGTTTTTCTTTCCAATAAAAAATAATAACAAAAAACACAAACAGCGGCAACAAACCGTGGCATCACATGGGAGCAAAACCAACAGCACACACAGTCTACACCCCATCATCCTCATCTTCCTCGCCTTCCACGCTTGCATCAACATCTGCAAAATCCATGTCCTCCTTCTCATCCCCCACAATCTCCTCCGGCAGACCCCTCACTTCCTCCAAGGGTGGGTACTTGATGAGGGACTGGGGGAGGGGCGCAAAGCGGAAAGGGTGGAACAAAAAGGGGATGGGGGCGGATGAGTTGAGCATTTCATGATTGATAGGCGGAAAAACGGCAGCGACATCAAATCAATCTCACTGGCCATCCCCATCCCCATTCCGACTTCCCCTCTTCTCCCAGTCCCCTTTCCCCCTCACCTCAATGAGGCTCGAGCCGTCCCCCGTTCCGCACCGCCCGCCGCACTCCCCCATCCGCGGAGCTTGCGCGTCCTGCTCCGCCATGCGCGAGTAAAACGAATCCGCGCCGCCCACAATATAGCCACCCTCGCTGCCGTGAATCGCGTCAAGCAGGCGGTGGTCGAGAGTGTGGCTCTCCGCACGGGCGAAGTAAAGCCCGCGAGAGGCATTGCGCCCTTGCTGTAGCATGGGGGGCGGCGAGGGCAGCCCCAGATAGCGCGCTGGGGGAGATGGGGAGCAGTGAAGGACGGGGGAAATGGGCGGGAAGCAAGGGAAGGGGGGGGAAGGGGGGGTGGGGAGGGGGGAAACGGGAGGGAGGGGAGGCGGCTGTGAAAAGGTGGGCCCAGCAACGCCAAAAGCCCCCTCTGCTACCCTCACAAGCCTTCATCCCCCCACTCCCTCCCTTCCGTTCCCCCCATCGCACCACCCGCCCGCACTGCCACCCTCACAAGCCCCACTGGCAGCAGCACGCACCCAAGTAGTCGATCTTCAGGCGGCCATCGGAGAAGCGCTCCAACGCCTCGATGTAACTCATGCCGTAGAGCGGCAGGTCAGCACGCAGGAAGCGGTGGGAGCCGTCGTGGTTGTTGCCTACGTCCACCCAGGAGTCGCCATTCACAAAGAGCGCTGTGATGGTTAAGAGTGTCGAGCAGCGCTGCTGGTGTGAATTGGGGGAAGCAGGGAGGGAGAGGGGAGGGTAGTGGTCAGGGAGAATAAAGGAGGTGAGAGAGTGGGGACGAGGGGGGGGTGGAAGGAAGGGAGGGCACGGCGTGGCAGCCCTGAACGACAGCATGGAGAGATTCCTCAAGCAATGCACAAGACCCCTACAGACCCACTCGCTCACCAGCCTCACTCACTCCACCGCCCCACGCTACCCAGCGACAGCACACCCCCCTGCATGCCATCGCGCCCCATCCCTACTGCCTGCATCCGACACTGGCGGCATTGCGCCACCTCTCTTGCCCCCCTGCTCAAACACCTCACATGCCCCACATACACCTCTCACCATCTCTCCCTCGCTCCCTCTCTCCTTCCCCCCCACAGCCCCTCCCCACCCCACTTCCCTCCCTACTCCAACGCCACCTCCCCTCTCTCCCCTCCCTGCCCCTCCACCACCGACTTCGCTACGCGCCTGCGCGCTTCACGGGGGCACCACTGCCGCGCACCGTCACCGCAATTGCGCCCACCACGACCACCGCTGCTCCCAGCGCCAGCCGCACCACCGCCAGCCGCGCTCTCCGCGGACGAAGCCGGCGGAGGCAGCGCGCGCTGCTCCGCGCAGCGGCGGATGCAGATACCCCCGTGCGCGCACCCACCATCGCGCAACAGAGGTCCGGCGGGTGGGCGCGGGAGATCGGTGGAGGCAAGAGGAATATCCACCGCCGTAGAGACACGTGCGACGCCACCCCTCGCCGTTAGAGAAGCTCACAGCGGCAACGGTCTCGCATACCTCGTTTGCGCAGTCGTAGTCGAACGCGCGCACCCGAATAAGCGCGACTCGCGCTGTATCGTGCTCGAATAAAGAGGGGAAAAGGGATAAGGGAGGAGAAAAGGGGAAGGGAAGATTAAATAAGGTGAGGAAAGAGAGAAGACATGAGAGAATGAAAGCATACGGAATTTACGGTCGTTGCAATGGGTCGCGTCATGATTCGAGCGCATGCGAATGCTCACATCAAGGTCTTCGCTCATACTGTGCGCCGTCGTCAACTTTACGATACTCGTGTTTAGGAAAGTCAAGAACTATAGAAACTGGAGAAGCTTGTTCGCCGCTCGCTCTCCCCCTTGCTACCCTGCCTCCCCACTCATCTGCCTCCCCCCCCACCTTCTAGTCCTTTTGTGCACATTCGAGCGATATCGGCTCGACCCCTGACCATCATCCCTCGTTCCGCCTCGGCTCCGCCCGCCTGCGTAACCGTCCCCGTGTCCTGGCGATCCACCAATTTCGTGCTATGCCGTAACCACGCTTCACAAACGAGATGAGCGTAGGCTGCTGATGCGCTGCAGTAGCCATCGTAGGTAGAGGGGGAGGGTAGTACTTGTGTTTCTAACTGCAAAACTTGACAACCAACAGGAAAGTGAATTGAACCACTCTGCCTTCAACCTAAATACAGTACAGCTGACAGAGAGTTTGCTCGAGGGTTTCGTAATGGTTGGGAGTTGGAGCTCTGAAACAGAGCTGGATCCGAGACAATCCGAGCAACCAATCATGTGCAAGTGGGGTTTGCGATGGAAGTTGATCGTAACCATCCATCGAAATGTTTGATCGGACGGTCGTGCATAGTGTTAGTTCTGGTTTGGTTTGCTTTGGTTGGTTTGGTTTGCTCAATGCTTTGGTTCGGTTTGGTTTCAACAAAGCCGATCTAACCCAATTGGGAGTCTGTGGGTGTGGATGAGCAATCCGAACTGCCCACGTATACAGCAGTTGTGCACTGGAGGGGGAGTCCCCAGACACTGTGGAGTGTGATCGCGATACATTGTAGGGACTCCGTTCGATAGGTTGGAGATCCCGCATACTGGGTGTCAAGTTGGAGACTGGAGGGAGTAGCGAGTCAGTAGCGAGTGTAGCCACAGTGCATCTCGAAATACATAGTACTCACTCCCACTGTCCAAACCACCCCCCCCAAAAAACAAATTTGGGATGTGGGCCACAGTGGACCTCAGTGACTTACATCTTTGTATCTTCATGTATCTTCATCGCCCTCCATCACGAGGCAGAGATTCAGTGTGCAAGAAAGCCTTGCAAGAAAGCGTTCTTTTGAGGCGCCTGAGAAGTCTTTCAGGTTACTCGACATACAACCACTTCCCTTCCTTCCTCCTGTCTCCGTCATCACACCCCTGATCTCTCATCCCCCCGCCATCCTACTGGCAGTACTCATCCGGCGGACCATGGGAGCTTCCCACAATGGAAGGGCAGCCTCTCTAGATGAACTACACTACTTCTTTTGACATGTCTACTTTCGTCAGCAACGCTCCCGCATGGAATATTTCTGGCATGTCTCCTCAGCAGCAGTCCAGCTCGCCACTGCCACATGTCATGGGCTACGTGGTGCGTGATGGGAGCCCGTTTGCATACACGGTGGAGGATGCTGGAGACATGGTGCTGGATGTTCCAGAGAGCAAAGTCGTGGTGTATGGGAGCCATTCAGTGCTTCTTCCAAACAACACTGACGCTCTTGGCGCGAAAGCGGGTACGTACACATATACACATGCAAACTACACATTTACACACCCACATATGCAAGCCCAGACGTGCGTGCGCACACACACACACACAAACACACGCACCGATGCATTTTCTTGGTCCAAGCAAGCCAAGCGTGTTCTTCATACATCATGACTCTTGATGATTTCACACGATGCCCTAACAAGTTGCTCCTTCGTTCCTATCTGCAGCACCAGGAGGCATTGCTGCTCCCCTCTTCCACCTGCTTGCCTCTGTTGGCCTCGCCCTCACTGCCCTCATGCTGCTGTTACCTGTAGCATGCTAAGTTATCGTGGCATGTTCTCTGAATAAGAACGTGGAACGGAATGGGCCGTTGAGCCCACGCAGGGGCCAGCCTGCCATTGCTTATGCCACATATCAAATCATGTATTTAGCTTCATTTGCTTTAGGTGTCTTTTGTGTTGAAGAAGTTGCGAGCAAATGACCTAGATTCGATGAAGTTTGAATGTAGCTTGATGTCCTGTAGAGAGACAGCTTCTTTAAAGCTTTGAATCACCAATTCAACCCGTTGAACAAGCAAGAATGAACTGCATTACCACGATGCAACAAAGTATCACATTATTCCACAAGTAGCTTCTTCCCCCTTGCACTTCCGCAAGCCCTACCGCACACATCTCGCCAGTAGCCACAACCCTAACCCCCACACACCTCCGAACCTGTTGCGTAACTGCTCGCATGTGCAGTAACACTTGATTTACCGTAATCAAATAACATCGTCATATTTGGTCAAATCTGATCAGCCTAACCTTGAGGTCCGGAGCCAGGCCTTGGGGGTGCATATTGCCCCGGACCTGCTGGCCCAGGCCCAGGGTACTGTTGGGGAGGGTAGGGTTGGGATGGAGGTCCGGAATACTGCTGCTGTGGTGCACCTGGGGGGAAACCTGGGTACTGTTGTTGCCCACCTGAAGGGCCACCTGGGTACTGTTGTTGAGCACCTGGAGGGGCACCTGGATACTGTTGTTGGGCACCTGATGGACCACCTGGGTATGGGGGTGGGGGACCCTGCTGTGGTGCATACTGGGATGGGGGCGGCATGTAGTTGTTGATACTGCTGCTGCTGCTGCTGCTGAAATTGTTGCGGCTGCTGATAGTGTTGCTGCTGCTGGTAACCCATGGGAGGAGGAGGGTATGATCTCGGATACCCCCCCTGCTGCTGCTGATAGGCCCCTGGGTGAAGGGTAGGGGCGCCTGGGGGAGGCATACCTGGTGCAGGCTGGTAGGGCTGGGGAGGGTGGGGGGCAGGATAGGGAGTGTGGCCAGGGGGAGGATAGGCATGAGGTGGGTATGGGTAGGGTGGAGCTGTAGACGCAGCAGCAGAGGCATCACCACCACCACCTCCCCCTCCCCTCTTCCTCCTCATCCTCCTCCCTCTCCTCCGCCTCCCGCTCCACCTCCTCTTTCCCCCTCCCTGCCGCGAGTGCGTGCCCCCATCCTCTCAGGGTTCATAGACGGATACATAGAAGCAGAGGTCGCCGGACCTACCACCGAACCTGCCGCAGCCTGAGGCAACAACCCGAAGCTGCCCCCAGCCGGACCCTCTCCCGCACCACTCCCCCCAGCAGCACCACCCGATCCTCCTCCGTCTCCTCCCTCTCCCCCTTGCGTCCCCTCACCAACGCTCCCTTGTCCCCCTCACCCGCTCCTCCCGCTCCCCCCCCCTCCCTTCTCTCCCCCTTCCAGCAACCGGTTTCCTCCCCCTCCTTCCAAAGCCTTTGCTTTGGGTCGGCCCCAGTCTAGCTTGAGCCGAATGCCTTTCACAATGAGCTTGTTGGTGAGGCCCTCTGCTGCCTTCTCTGCATCCTCGCGCGTGGTGAATGTGATGAAGGCACAGCTGCGCGGTGTAATGAGACGGATAGATTCCACCTCACCAAACGCATAGAACTCGTCCCTGTGATGCCATGCACACAAGGGGGAGGGGGGAGGGAAGGGGATTGCCCCAGTCAAGCTTGAGCCGGATCCCTTTCACAATGAGCTTGTTGGCCAGACCCTCTGCTGCCTTCTCTGCATCCTCGCGCCTGGTGAAGGTGATGAAGGCACAGCTGCGTGGGGTGATGAGACAGATGGACTCGATTTCCCCATAAGAATAGAACTTGTTCCTGCCAAGCCATGGGGAGGCGCGAGGAGGGGGGAGACGGGTAGGACCCGGGAGGGAGAATGGGAGATAATGGGGAAGTAGACGGGATGGGTCCGACTCAAAGGAGCATAGTGACATCGCAGGGCACATGGGAAAGGCAGGTCAGGATGAGGGGAGTGAGGGGTGTTGCATGGGGGATGGATAGGATGAGACAGAGATGGTTGGTCTCCCGTAGTGGTGGCCCTCTGGTGGTGACAAGTGAGATGCACACCACACCACACCAGACCGCACTGCACCGCACCACACCCCACCCCACCACACCACATTGCACTGCACCGCACCACTCACTTGAGGTTAGCCTCTGTGATGCGTGAGTCCACTCCTCCCACAAAGAGCGTCTTGATGCTCGTGTCCTCTGATGCTTCCAACGACGGTATCTTTTCTGCCAGCCGCATCATCTTCTTTGCCACTGGGTCGTTCACTCTGCATATGGGAAACGACAGGAGAGAGCGGGCAGAGGGGGGGAAAGGCAAGTGAGCAAGTGATGGCATCTCCGCTGCCAGTCACATCATCTTCTTCGCCACTGGGCCGTTCACCCTGTGAGTGACAAGAGGGAGAGGGGGAGGATGGGAAGGAAAGGTAGGGGGAAGTGGGGAGGGAGAGGAGAGGGAAGCATGGGTAAGTGAGCAAGTGACGGCATCTCCGCTGCCAGGCGTATCAACTTCCTCGCCACTGGGCCGTTCACACTGCACGTGGGAAACGATAGGAGTGGGGGGTGGGGAGGGAGAGGAGAACGAAAGGCAAGCGATCAAGCCACGTCATCTCTGCTGCCAGGCGCAACATCTTCTTCGCCATTGGGTCGTTCACCCTGCCACTGGTTCTAATCCCCTTGTACCCATTGATAAATTCCTTTAAGTTCTGGTGGCTCCCCCACGATGGCCATCTCATGGCGGTAGGGGCACTCCACCCCCCACCCAACCCCAGTGCACCACCACACTACACCACACAAAACACCCCATCACCACTCACTAACCCCCTCCTCCAACACGTACCCATAGTACGGGTCTTTGAAGTTCTGGTGCGCCAGTTCCCCCATAATGGGCATCTCGTGGCGGTAGGGGCACTCCGCCCCGCTCGCGCACTCCACCCCTCTTCTCCCCTCTCTTGAAACCCAGAACCACAATGCACCACCATACTAAACCACACCACACTTCCCATCACCACTTTCACTCCCCACGTACCCATAGTAACGGTCTTTGAAGTTTTGGTGCGCCAGCTCTCCGGTGATGGGCATCTCGTGGCGGTACGGGCTCTCCGCCCCGCACGTGCACTTTGCCTGCCCTACCCCTTCTTGCACCCCCCAATCCCCAGGTCCGTTTCCCACGTACCCATAGTAGCGGTCTTTGAAGTTTTGATGCGCCAGTTCCCCCGCAATTGGCATCTCGTGGCGGCAGGGGCACTCCGCCCCGCATGTGCACTTTTCCCCTCCCGCAGTGCATCCCAGAACTACAGTGCACCACCACATACAGACATACCCATAATAACGGTCTCTGAAGTCCTGGTGCGCCAGTTCCCCTGTGATGGGCATCTAATGGCAGTAGTGACACTCCGCCCCGCGCGTGCACTTCCTGCGCACAAAGAAGGAGCAGATGTGCGCGAGGTTGCGCTTGTAGTAGAGCGTCGTGCGCCGCAACTTCAGCAGCAGGTCGTTTGGCGCAGCTTTCCCGAACGACGACTCATAATCCAGCCCTGCACGAGCCTGAAGGGGGTTGGGGGTAGAGGAGGGGGGAGGGAGAAGAGGGGGATGCGTCAAGGAGTGGCGCTGCTCGCCCATCTGACCACAACCACCCATGCCCTGCCCGTGAGCGAGTTGATATCAACAATGAAGTCAAACTACATCAAGTCCGATAACATGGAGCGTCTGTTCGCGCTGGACGGCACCAAAGACATCTCTGTCTTGACGATTCTCGTCCCGCGGTCCGGTGACATTCCCGATGGCGAAACCTACGCCAGCCATGATAACACCACGCGCAAGTACAACCAGGCGATCGCAGACACGCTCACGCTCATGTACGTAGCCAGCCAATCAGAATCGACGTGGACTGCCGCCTCACAGAAGTTACTCTCCCCTGCTGTCGCGAAAGTTCTTCTGGATATCTGGAAATTTCATATTATGAAGCAATACATTACATTCCGCCCTCCGTCGCGAAGCAGAAGCTGTGTCATTAAAAATTAAAGTCAACGAATAGCTTGCCTAGACCACCGCAATCGTGGTGATCGCAGTGATCTCAGTGATCGCAGTGATCGCATTGACCGCATTGCAATGCGGCCCATGGGCTGTAAATAGTTATCCATCCATCTTGTATGTGAGACACTAACTTTTCCGTTGTTTTATTGCGATTTCCTTTTCCGCGGTGTCTCCGTCCTCACCGTTCGATCATCCCCCCTCTATCCTACTCGCAGTACTCATGTGGCGGGCCGTGGGAACTTGCAACCTGGAAGGGCAACCACTCTGGATAACATACAACACTTCTATGTATGGCAGCGGATCATGGAACCTATCTGGCATGTCTCCCCAGCAGCACGCAACCTCTTCGCTGCCTAGAGTCGGGCTCTATGTGGAAACGGATGGGGGCCCGTTTGCATATACGGTGGAGAGTGCTGAAGACGTTGCATATGATTCTCCGGAGAACGAGGTCATGGTGTATAGGATTGATGCGGTGCTTTTCCCTTATAACATGGAGGCTCTTAGCGCGTGTGCAGGTACGCAGACACACAGAGACGCACGCACACAACATATCCTAGCATGAACCACACACCCTCCCATCACTTGCCCCCCCAGCATTGCACCTGGTACATCTGCTGCTCCCCCACGCCGCCTCCCTCCCCCACTGTGCGGCCGTCTACCTGCACGTGGTCACATACAACGCTGCAGCCATCTGCTTCTATCGCTCGCTGCGCTTCTGCTATCGCCGCCGCCTCTCCCGCTTCTACTATCTTGAGGGGGGCGAGTACGATGCGCTGCTCTTCGCGCATTACGATAACGGCTGGTTACTGCCCGACTCCAGGTTCGTTTTTTTGACGTCTCAAGAACACTCTTCCTTCACGCAACGGATGGTCACCACCTGACTCCAGGTGGTGACCAGGTGCATTTCTACCGCTCGCTGTGCTTCTACTACCTGGAAGGGGGTGAGTACGATTTGCTGCTCTTTGCGCGTTACGTCAACGGCTGGTTACCACCTAACTCCATGTGCGGGTCCCGGGATTGTGTTGGGTGGTTTGCTGGCTGGCTGGCTGTGTTCTTTGTTGGTGATTAGAATTAATCACGTGTGTCTCAACGCTGTTTTTTTTTTTTTCACTACCAAGTCTTCTTGCTCTTTACTGTCAAATGTTCTGTCTGCTATAGTTTGTTTAGGCTGTAGTGGGGTAGTTACTGTTGGTGCAACCCTACGGTTTGCACTCGGCTTGTTGTCCGTGCGCGTGAATGTGTGTGTGTATGGAATGGTATGAGGGCATGGGATAATATATATTTCATGCTTATAATTGTGTGTGAATGTTGAGTCATGATGTCGAGTGTGTGTGTCGAGTCAATAGCGAGTTATCGCTAGACGCGTGTTACGCGGTCGTTTGTGTCTCGCGCGCGGTTTCTATTTTGTCGTGCGCGGTTTCTATTTTGTCCTGTGTCGAACGTTCGGCGTGTCGCAGGTGTGTGCAGCAGACCCATCAAGAACTCAAGGATGAGTTTGTGATGAAGAGCCCGAGCCTTGGTGTCAAGCCTCAAGTGATTTCGAAGCTTGCCAAAAGGGTACACCTCAAGATATTGAAGATAGTTACATTACTTTGTGTAGTGTAACATTTCACTTGGTGTAGGCCCTAGTGAAGGGTAGTTTCGAGACCCTTCGTGGTTGGAGACAGTGTGGCACTGTTCCACATCACTGTACCTCGGCTCTTGGGGTTTGTAGGAGCTGGGAGTCATTCCCAACTCGTAACTCTTCCTATCTTGTGTTCTAAGACTATAGTGGCTGCCATAGTACCGTTCGTTCAAACCGACGCTGTGTCGTCAATTCTTTATCAAATCGTGCAATCTAAATTGCTAATTGTAGACGACTTGAAGACGCTCCAGATCCAATTTGAATCAAGTCATTTGCAGCTGTGAGCAGAACGCTATCAACGTTTGAAGCCGCTGTGCAGAAATCCGTCTGTGCTCTCTATCTTTCGTTTTAGGCACATTCAAGCCTATTGTGACTATAACAAGTGGTATCAGAGCCCCTTGGAGCAGTTTCGACAATGTCTGGACCTGAGGAAAGGGGTGGCAGAGGTGCTGGTGGCAGTGGAGAAGCTCAAGCTCAAGGCCAACCCCGTGATTCAGCCATGGCGCCCATGCAACCAAGTCTTGGCCCACCTAGGGATGAGCCTAGGGTGTTTGGGCTTGACAAGTTCAACGGTGACAACTTTGCTGAATGGTCCTTCAAGATGGAGAACATCTTTGACCACTATGACCTGCTGGAGGTGATGGAAGGAACGGAGAAGCGCCCCGAGAACGACCCGGAGAAGAGCCCGTGGGTGCGGAAGAGTGCACAAGGCTATCTCTTACTTGGGCAAGCGTTGGGGAGCAGTCAGATCCGTCACATCAAGCCATTCCAGCGTGAACCAGAGAAAGGACCAAAGGCATGGGCTGCTCTCAAGGGTGTACATGCTCCTGCAACAGCGGCGGTAGCGGTGGTGTTGGAACGGCAAATGGCGGCACTACGAATTGAAGAAGACGAAGCGGTTGAAGAAGGGGTGCAGAAATTCTTCGACTTGTTGACGCGGCTTGAGGGAGCTGATTTGAACTACAGTGAGCTCCAAAAGAAGACCAAGTTGCTGGCATTACTCCCAGAGTCATGGTCCTCGCTCATCATCAACCTTAATCGCGACTTGCCCCGCCTCTCGCTTGAAGACGTGAAGCGAGCTATCCTTCAAGAGGATTTCCGCCGCCGTGAGTTGGCGAGTGCGGATGGCGCTGGGGCAGCGAGCATCGGCCGTGGATATGGTCGAGGAAGAGGCAGAGGACGAGGGGGAGGAAGGTTTGGTGGCAGCAACTTCGGCGGAGGCCGCAGGAGTGGCGGTTACGGCAGCGACGACAAGAGCTACGGACGCGGTCGCGGCCGATTCGACGGCGAGTGTCACTATTGCCACAAGAGCGGACACATGTGGCGCGACTGCTACAAACTCCCTGATGGTTGGACCCCTGCTCAAGGCCAAGAGGGTAGAGGAGCAGGAGGAGGGAGAGGACGAGGCCGTAGAGGCCGTGGCGGTCGCGGTGGCGGAGCTGCAAACATGAAGAGCGGAGACAACGACAAGGACCCGAGCGACGATCGATACCCGGGTCTATTCTACTTCGTGTCGACGCAAGTACCGGCTGGTCCAGAGAAGGATGAAGGCTTTGAGGAGCCAGCAGCTGTGGGGAAGGTGACCCTACACCCCCTGGACTATTGGGTGATTGATAGTGGCGCTACCTATAGCATGACACCTCGCCCGGACTTGCTCACCGAACTCGAGCCGTCACCGGTGAAGCATGTCACATCGGCTTTGGGGCAGCGAGCAGAGGTGAAAGGCATGGGCAAGGCCATGTTCAAGGGTGCTGATGGGAAGATGGTGGGCCTCAAGAACGTGCTTTGGGTGCCCAGCCTTGCTGCAAACCTGATTTCCGTGCGGCGGTTGGCAAAGGCCGGCATGGACACGAACTCGAAGGGAGCCAAGACCTACACCGCAAGGCTTGGCGATCGAATTCTTTGGGACCTTCATGAGGACAGGGATGTCTACAACGAGATGTGGCAGATCCCAGTGGTCCCTATGCCTAAGGAGAGGCAAGTGGCAGCAAGCATCAGCACCGAGGATGGAGCGGTCGGTAGCGACGATGGCGCGAACGGTCGCACTAAGGAGAATGAGCTCAAGAAGAGCAAACCTGGAGGGACCAGCAAGTTCAGTGAACCTAAGGAGAGTGGTGCAGCAACCAAGGAGCAGCAAAAGGGTGAGGAGAACCCAGAGGCAGCAGCGGAGGAGGACTACGGAGAGAGTATGTGGGGCGCTATTGCGAGCGCGGCATTCTCCGATCCAACTTCGGCTACGGGGGAGTGTGATTGGCTCACCTTGCATCGGCGCATGGGGCATGTGGCCCTGCCCATCTTGCAGCAGCTAGTGAAGAATGAGATGGTTGCTGGCATACGTGTGAAGGGGGAGCCCGATGAGGTGCTTGGCTGCCCGACGTGCATTCAAGCCAAGTTCACCCGGTTTCCGTTCCCTAGTTCGGAGGCAACGGCAAAGGCACCGCTTGATGAGGTGGTGATGGACGTGGTGGGCCCCCTGAAGCTTGGAGCTGCTGGAGCTGAGTATTTTCTCACCATTGTCGACGTCTACACCCGCATGACTTGGGTGTACGTGCTGGCCAAGAAGAGCGACGTGGCTGAAACGTTGAAGACGGATTGGTTCCCGATGGTGGAGCGGCAACAAGACCGTCTAGTCAAGTCAATCCGCACCGATCGAGGGGGAGAGTTCCTGAGCAAGGAGTTTGGGTTGTGGCTGAAGAAGAATGGTATTCGGCACTCCCTCACCATGCCATACTCCCCTGCAATGAACGGCATCGCCGAGCGAGCGAACCGCACAATCACGGAGGCGGCACGCGGGTTGCTCATTGAAGCCGGGCTACCCGACTATTTCTGGCCTGATGCGGTGCGGAGCGCGTGTGTGGCCAAGAACAGAGCCTTGACTCATGTGGGAGCAGACAAATGGGTGCCCTATGTGGAGTGGCTAGGAAGGAAGCCAAAGGTGGATATGCTTCAGGTGTTCGGGTGCATGTGCATGGCGCTCGTGCCTAAGCATCTTCGGCACAACAAGCTTGGTGCCAAGGCGGTGTGGGCCATGCACTTGGGCATGGCTCAAAACAGCAAGGGATGGCTTCTTTGGGACCCATTCACCAAGAAGTTCTTGGTGAGCAGGGACTGCAAGTTCATGGAGAACTTCATGTACAAGGATTGGAAGGCGGAGAATGAGGCGAAGATAGGCGTGCGGTTTGGGGAGGTGAAGAGTTCCGGTTTGGAGCATGTGGAGCTGCCTTTGGAGCTGAGCAGCGGCAGCACAACCACAAGGCTATCCTCCCTTGTGAATGGGGGAGAGGAGGCCAATGATGCAGAGGAAGAAGAGGAGGAGGTGCAGCAAGTGAGCGAGCGTGCACCGTCACTCCCTTCCCGTACTACGAGTGCTCCACGGATTCGAGCCACACCGCAGCAACGCCAAGGCCTTCAAGTCCATGCAGCTGAGGAGGAAGGAAGGGGGAAAAGGAGAGTTCAACCCCCTAATAGGCTGACCTATGATGCGCCGGGAAAGCAGGGCAAGACAGCCCTGGCCGGAGCGGCAATGATGGTCGGAGACGACGAGGAGAGTGACTACGAGGAGTGTGCCTTCGCGTTCTTCTCTCCGGTGGAGATGCCGGGAGAACCAGCAACTCTCAAGGAGGCTTTGGAGAGTAGTGATGCTGAGGAGTGGAAGAAGGCCATGGAGAGTGAGCTGAAGAGCATCGAGGAGAATGACACGTTTGAATTGGTGGAGCTACCGGAGGGGCGTACGGCGATAACGTCCAAGTGGCTCTTCAAAATCAAGTCGGATGCCGACGGCAAGATCGAGCGCTACAAGTCTAGGCTTGTAGCCAAGGGGTACCAGCAGAAGGAGAAGGTGGACTTCAAGGAGCTGTTTGCCCCTGTGGTGAAGCCGACGACGCTGCGAACCCTATTCGCGGGAGCCGCCATCAAAGGATGGGTAGTAAAGCAAATGGACATTGTAACGGCATTCCTTAACGGCATCCTTGAGGAGGAGATTTTTATGGCGCAGCCAGAGGGGTTTGATGATGGTAGTGGCAGAGTGTGGAAGCTGAAGAAGACCCTCTATGGTCTGAAGCAGGCCCCTAGGCAATGGTACATGAAGCTGCGCGAAGTGTTGGAGGGGATCGGCTTCACTCCCTCAACGGCCGATCACTCCTTGTTCATGCTTGGCGAGGGGGA